GTGTTCATAGACTAATAATCGTCTGTGCTGTGGACTTTTGCTCCCTCAGTGTGACGCGGCGGCGGCGGCGGTGTGAGTTCGTTTGGGGTGACACGGCGGCGGCGGCGGCTCACGTTGCTCTTGGCGTCCAGCGGCGGCTCGGTGGGGTTCAGGCAGGCGTGGACCACTTTGATCACGTGCTCCAGTTTCCTCGGCTGCTCCTCGACTTTCGCCGCCAGAAACAGGACGGTCGGCGCCATCGTCTGGAAACACAAAACACGACACGTTACACACGAACGTTCAACAGACGCGACGAGCAGCGGGAGACGACCACGAGAAAAACGACCAAACCCAAACCTCGACCGACAAACAAACACAAACAGGAAACGATCCGATTCTCCCTGAGACGCTCGTCAGTACGAACAGTTCTGTTTCATTTTGAATATTTTTATTTTTTGATCAATGAAAATTATTCTGTTTTACACTAATAATAATCTGTGTGTAAATATGATATACAAAACTAAAATGTTCTAAGAAAAATAAAGTAAAAAAAAAATACATATATATTTATATATATATATTTTTTAGGGATTTACTTCTTCTTCTCATGTTCACAGCTCCATGTTCCTTTTATTGTTTTTAAAAATTCTATATTCGCCCAAAACAAAAGATTCATGTTTTATAAGTTTCACTTATATATATATTTATATATATATAAAAAAATAATAATAATAATAATTAAAAAAAAAAGTCTCTCCTCTCTTTGCTAACTCCCTCCCCTTCAGAGCACTATCCCAACACCCAACACTGATGAACCTCCTACAGAAGAGCAAACTGTGCCCAACTTTTGGACAGAAATCTCCCCGTGTGACGTCATCAGTGTGACATCATCAGTGTGACATCATCAGTGTGACATCATCAGTGTGACGTCATCGGTGTGACGTCATCAGTGTGACGTCATCAGTGTGACATCATCAGTGTGACATCATCAGTGTGACGTCATCGGTGTGACGTCATCAGTGTGACATCAGCGTGACGTCATCAGTGTGACATCATCAGTGTGACGTCATCAGTGTGACGTCATCAGTGTGACATCATCAGTGTGACATCAGTGTGACATCATCAGTGTGACGTCAGTGTGACATCATCAGTGAGACATCATCAGTGTGACGTCATCAGTGTGACGTCATCAGTGTGACGTCATCAGTGTGACATCATCAGTGTGACGTCATCGGTGTGACGTCATCAGTGTGACATCAGCGTGACGTCATCAGTGTGACATCAGAGTGACATCATCAGTGTGACGTCATCAGTGCGACGTCATCAGTGTGACATCATCAGTGTGACATCAGTGTGACATCATCAGTGTGACGTCAGTGTGACATCATCAGTGTGACATCATCAGTGTGACGTCATCAGTGTGACGTCATCAGTGTGACGTCATCAGTGTGACGTCATCAGTGTGACATCATCAGTGTGACATCATCGGTGTGACGTCATCGGTGTGACGTCATCAGTGTGATGATGAAGATGAAGGTGGACTTACGTTTCGGTGGAACTTGGTGAAGGAGTGGTGCATGTAGAATCGATGCATGTAGACGATGGCCGTGTTTATGGTGAGCTGAGACCTGCACCAGGACGTTAAAGAAACACACACGAACCAGGACTGAAACAGGACTAAAACTGGACTAAACCAGGACTAAACCAGGACTAAACCAGGACTAAACCAGGACTGAACCAGGACTGAACCAGGACTAAACCGGGACTAAACCAGGTCTTGTAAAATGTGAATTTCATGACGATTATTTGAGTTTTTATTTGTTTGTGTTGTGATTTTAACAACTTTTTTAGTCTGTACAAAACTTTGACTCAGGCCGGAGAAGAGGAAGAGGAGGAGGAAGAAGAGGAAGAGGAGGAAGAGGAGGAGGAAGAAGAGGAAGAGGAGGAGAGGATGAGAGGAGAGAAAATGTTGTTCTGTGACATTTTAAATCACAGTGTTTGAGGGAGAAGAGGACAGAGGGAGAAATGTGCATTTACGATTCAACGCTGTAATGAAGCTGTAAACACTAAACTGTTTCAGTCACAGTTTGAGTTTTGATCAAACGTTTTTGGCAGAAACTAAAAATGATTCTGATTCTTCTTCTTACAGCTCTAGGAATATTTCATGTGTAGAATTACGTTTGTAGAAAAGTCGTTTTTTTTTTTTTTTATCACTAAAGCCAATTTCAACTATTTACCAAATCCCAGTTCACATTTAACCCTCCTCCACTCTCCTCCCTCTATCCTCCTCTCCCCAGGTCTCTCCTCTCTTCCTCCACTTCCCTTTTCACCTGCTTCCCTCTCTCCTCTCCTCCCTCTCTCCTCTCCTCTCCTCTCTCCCTCCCTCTCTCTCCTCCTCTCCTCTCCTCCCTCTCTCTCCTCCTCTCCTCTCCTCTCCTCTTCTCCTCTCCTCCTCTCCTCCCTCCTCTCTCTCCTCTCTCCTCCTCCCCTCTCCTCCTCTTTCCTCTCCTCCTCTCTCTCTCTCCTCCTTCACCGGGCGGATACACGTTGAGTCTTTGGCCCATGTCCTGGATCAGGTTTGCGGCCTGTTGTCTGTAGGAAAGTTCTCGGTCTGGATCGACTCCGCAGCGGCGCGACGGGGTCTGAAGCAGCTGCTCCCGGGAGAAGAACCAGCGCGGGGCCGGGGCTCTCGGGGCCGGGGCTCTGGAGGCCGGGGCCGGGGCTCTCGGGGCCGGGGCTCTCGGGGCTCTCGGGGCCGGGGCTCGGGGCCGGGCTCTGGGGGCCGGGGCTCTCGGGGCTCCGCCGTGAGCTCCGCGGGCCGCCGCCATCTTGCCTCCTGCTTCCTCTTCCAGCTGCGTCACGGCGCACGCAAACGAATGACGTAGTGACGCACGGTCTCGTGGCGGTTTGTAAACAACTACCGCAGCTTTACCGCCACCAACTGATCAGGAGTGTGAACTGAAACGTGACTAACAACAAAATAAATTAAATAAATAACAAAAACTAAAAATACATAATAAAAAACAAAAAATTAATACAAAAAATAAAAATTAAAATAATACTAATAATAATACTAATAACAACAAAAATTAATAAAATAAATAACACAAAAAACTACAAAAATAATGAATACATAATACTAATAACAACAAAAATTAATAAAATAAAGAATACAAAAAACTAAAAATTAAATGAATAAATAATACTAATAACAACAAAAATTAATAAAATAAATAATACACAAAACTAAAAATTAAATGAATAAATAATACTAATAACAACAGGGATCAAATAATAACTAAGACAAAATAATTAATCAAATCCTGTTCATCAAATGAGCACAACAAAAACATGACAAAACACAAGAAAAATGACAAAACGAGAAAAACATGACAAAAATACAACAAAAATATGAAAAATCACGAGAAAAATATGGGGGAAAAAAACACATTGTTTTTAAGAAGATTTTCTGTATTTTTTCTGTATGTATTTTGTGTACCGAATCAAAGAACAGTTTCTGTCTCTTTTCTTTTGGCAGGGATCAGAACATGGAACAAATATGACAGAAACCCATCTGAAATATGAAAATGTGAGAAAACATGTGTCAGTGTCACAGCGGGACTCGAACTTCCAACCCTCTGGTGACGCGGCGCAGAGTTTTACCTGGAACTTTTGCAGCTGAAAAAGAAAACTGTTTTGAACTCGACTCATTCACGATGAACACGAGTCAGTGTCGTCCCGTTTTCTTTGTGTTTTGTCATTTTAATCAGATTTTCTGTATTTTACCAAAACAAAAGACACTTTATGTTTCTCTTTACTGTTGCAGAGATCAAAACATGACAAACAAAATGACAAAACACAATAAAAACTCAACAAAATACACAAAAAATGACAAAAGCTTGAGAAAATATGACAAAAATATGACCAAAACACATGAAAAATGTAACAAAACACAAGAGAAATGACAAAACCATGACCAAAGCATGAGTAAAAACATGAGAGAAAACACGTGTGAGTGTCACAGCGGGACTCAAACCTCCAACCCTCTGGTGACGCGGCGCAGAGATTTACCTGGAACTTTTGCAGCTGAAGGAGAAAACTGTTCTACAGAAACATGAGATTCTGCCACAATAAAAGAATAAAAGATCATCATCACTAAACTCAAAGTGTTAAAACGCATAATGAGAAAAAGGAATAAATTAATATAAAATGTAATTAAATATTAATTAAATGAAAAATAATGAATGCATAAAGCTAAAAATTATTTTTTAAAATGTATTTAAATCAAATTAAATCAAGTTAAAAATGATAAAATTCAATTGTTAAACTACAGAGACCAACACGAGTCAGTGTCGTCCCGTCTTCTTTGTGTTTTGTCCTTTTTAATCAGATTTTCTGTATTTTACCAAAACAAAAGACACTTTGTTTCTCTTTATTGTTGCAGGTGTAAAAAACACAGAGACACAGAGACACGGGGACACAGAGACACAGGACACAGAGACACAGAGACACAGAGACACAGAACACAGACACGACACAGAGACACAGAGACACAGACACAGGACACAGAGACACAGAGACACAGAGACACAGACACAGAGACACAGAGACACAGAGACACAGAGACACAGACACAGGACACAGAGACACAGACACAGACACAGGAGATACACAGAGACACAGAGACACAGAGACACAGACACAGACACAGAGACACAGGGACACAGAGACACACAGACACACAGACAGACACAGAGACACAGACACAGAGACACAGAGACACAGAGACACAGAGACACAGAGACACACACAGAGACACAGACACAGAGACACAGGGACACAAGGACACAGAGACACAGAGACACAGAGACACAGAGACACAGAGACACAGAGACACAGAGACAAGACACAGACACAGAGACACAGAGACACAGAGACACAGACACAGAGACACAGAGACACAGGACACAGAGACACAGAGACACAGAGACACAGAGACACAGAGACACAGAGACACAGAG